CGGACGTAAACAAGAATTTCATACACATTCTCTTCGGTACTTCTGTCACCTCTAGATATCAGAGACTCCAGCAGAGCTAGTGCTTGTCTTTGTACATAACACGGACCTGTTTTAAAACCATTATTAGCAGCATGCACAATGGGCTACAAAACCTGAGTGCTTGCGAGTCACGGTACGGCCCTTTGCAGCAACAAATAAATAGTATTTAAAGAAATACGCACCCATGTTCAGGTTACTTTTACATTTAAGTAAATACCTTATATCTAGGCGCTCTATTGCACAATATACAGGCTGCTTCAGTCATAATATAATTTTCAGGGAAGATAGGGAAGAATGAGTAGAATACGAATACGTGATTAAAAAAAAATAAAATGCATATTTACACTGAAAAAAAAAATATATTTTCAAATCATTATTTAAACCGTTTTTCAGACAGCTCCTAACCGCTAACCCACAAAGGTTTATCGAGAGTAAATCTTCACCTACCGTAATATTCGGTCATTAACCTAGCTTTTATTGCGTTTTTAATCCGTTGTGAACGACAACGAATAAACAGAGCTTTTTACCTAAGCATGAATGATTAAGATATTTTTACGTTTTAAATATTAAGAAGTATTATTTATTTGTTAATATTATTTATTTGTTAATAAAAACAAATGTATAATTATAATTATTATAAACAATAATAATTGTTTTCGAATGTATGGTTAGTATTTTTTTTATTTTAGTATTTAGTATTTTTAATATTGTTAACGTTTTCACTATGTTTTATAATTGAATATGAGTTTTTAATATTATGTTTAACTAATTATTTAGTTTGTAGTATGTATATCTTATTGTGTGACTTATTGCTTTTCAAAAAGTAGTATGGTACCTACCAATTTAAAATGACAGTATAGCTAAAAAAAATACTCACTCATCCATCCATAGCTCTTTGTTAATATAAAGACTTGGGATCGGCTGCACTTTGATTTTGAAACCAATTGCAAAATTCAGGACGACTGGGGAAATCAGCTGTTTCGCTTTAACGTTCGAACGCCTTATAGACGAACGGTCCACCCCTAAAAAGATGCTTAGAAAATCAAGGTCACCGACCACGAGGAGAGGCCAGGATGAAACCTTTTGTAATCGATGCATTGAGTTATTGCGAACAAAAAACCTAAGTAACATCTTTGTGTCCGAGTGGCAGGTAATTTGTTATTAACAAAAAAATTGCAAAATAAAAATATTGCAAAAAAACGCTCTGCAAACAATTTTCCAAGGTAAATTGGGCAAAAATAAACACTTTTTGTCTCTTGACATTTTTTCGTAGAACGCTTCCTTTTCGAGCTAGGGGCGATTTAAGGTCGAAAAATGGCTAAAAGTTGCCAACTTTAAAAATTCATATCTCAGCTCCTACCAAAGCTTTCGGAACGTTCAAAAGCGCAAAATGATCCTCGAGACTTATACTTTAATGTAGTATTTTTTTTAAACCAGCCCCTTTTTTTTAACCCGTTAAATTTGCAGCTGAATTTCGGCCGCTAGTGCCCACGCGCCACCCCTACGTATCGCTATATATAGATATAGCGCTGTCGTGCATATAATCGAATAAACGCTATTCATTCATTACTTGTTACAATTTTTACTATTTAGTATTTCTAACACTCATACATATTTTCAAATTCATCAAATATTGTATATCATATAATTATTTATAAGATTAATAATATGAATATCATATTTAAATGGAAAATAATATGTATTACGTTACAAATATATTGATTTATATTTATAACTGTATCTTCATTAATGTAGCTTCAATAATAATAACTATATATAACTATATTTATATCAAAAAATTATTTAGAACTAGAATATAAAATGTTATAAAAGGATACGCATAGATAGTCAACCAAAATATTAACTAACCGAGTTTTCGCGAACGTGCGCTTATGCGAATTACTTGTTATAACTTGTTTAAACAAGCGCAATGGATTAGACTGCAGCGATCGGGTGTCGCATGGATCATTAGTTTATTGTCTGGCATCAGGCAATAACAGTGAACATTTGACAAATAATGTATAAAAAATAAATAATACATTTTCTACAATATTCATTTGTGCTGTCATAGTGCAACAATCCTTTATTAGTCTGTAAACAATCATGCAACGTATGTGAATATTCAATGTTGTATAAAACTGCAGGTAAGTTTTCGAAAAATATTCTTGTGCTATTCGTTATTTAATACAATATTTATTATTCCCAATAGCTAGTATGTACATGATAGTATAGTAAATATCGAATCATCATGATACCAATACCATCATCAATACCTCCGGCAGAGCCTGTATTGTTACAACATGTTATGCGTGTTAAATGGCAAATCAATGAATGGTCTCAAGCAAGATCTGCAAGCATAACATCCTTCGACCCAACACAATATGGCTGGATATTAAAAAATAATGTATTGTGCTACAATTATTTTGAAGGAGATACGGCCATGGAAATGTTACAAAAATTCATATGTTCCTGCAGTGGAAAGTTACCATGCAGCGATGAAGACATTTGTTCTTGCTTATCACAAGGCTTCAAATGTTGCGATCTTTGCAATTGCTCTATAAAATGTCAAAATGCAGAAATACAAACTGATGATACTGATTCGGAGACTGAAAATTGATTTTTTATTAAATAGTTAAGTTTATATTTAAATGTAAATATATTTTTTTATATTAATAAATACCTTTGATATATGCATTTTTTGTAATGTTTAATTAATTTATTTTCCATTTAAATATGATATTCATATTATTAATCTTATAAATAATTATATGATATACAATATTTGATTAATTTGAAAATATGTATGAGTGTTAGTAATACTAAATAGTAAAAATTGTAACAAGTAATGAATGAATAACGTTTATTCGATTATATGCACGACAGCGCCTATATCTATATATAGCGATACGTAGGGGTGTCGCGTGGGCACTAGCGGCCGAAATTCAACTGCAAATTTAACGGGTTAAAAAAAAGGGGCGGGTTTAAAAAAATACTACATTAAAGTATAAGTCTCGAAGATCATTTTGCGCTTTTGAACGTTCCGAAAGCTTTGGTAGGAGCTGAGATATGAATTTTTAAAGTTGGCAACTTTTAGCCATTTTTCGACCTTAAATCGCCCCTAGCTTGGAAAATTGTTTGCAGAGCGTTTTTTTGCAATATTTTTATTTTGCAATTTTTTTGTTAATAACAAATTACCTGCCACTCGAACACAAAGATGTTACTTAGGTTTTTTGTTCGCAATAATTCAATGCATCGATTACAAAAGGTTTCATCCTGGCCTCTCCTCGTGGTCGGTGACCTTGATTTTCTAAGCATCTTTTTAGGGGTGGACCGTTCGTCTATTATAGTCCGCCAACGCATTCCCTGTTGCGACTAGGGCGCCGAATTAACGGGAGTTATGAGTTAAGAAATCGGAAACATTGAGTTTTGTCGATTACAGTGCCATCTATAATGATTCGAAAAAAATGTTTCAGACAAATCCTAGGTACTTTTAGCCGTAGAATCCGAATCTGCGATAAAAATAGAGGTTCCTATTTAAGATTTCAAAGTGCCGCCCCACCTACTACGGGACTAATTTTTTCACTAATGTATTCCCTCCGTAGAATGATTAAATTTAGATTATGGAAATTTTTTTCATAGAATGCTTATTTCTCGAGATATTTGAAAGTTTCAGGTTAAAAAATTACACGGTATTGTCTAGGCCTCCATTTTCTTTTGGTTTCTTGTTGCGCGATTTTTTCGAAGCCGCAGGCGTAGAACTTCTTATTGATTTTTATTGTAAAAAAGTCACAAAAACTTTCGAAGATGGTTTGATATTAAAATAATAGTCTGATTTATGGTTTTACCGTGGTTCGAGAGTCAGTACAGTAGTCGATTCGTATTTCGTATGGGTCTGTCACTATTTAAATTTAACTGATTACCGATGTCTGCGATAATTTTGTGCTTATGTATTTTACATTAGATTTAATACAAAATTTCTGGTTCGGGGACAGTATATATAAATCCAAATTTATTTAACATTAGGAATTAATCAATAATAGCTCTAATCAGTAATGAAAATTACATTTTTTAGTAGACACTTTTGGATAATTTAAATATTTTTAGATATTACCCAATAAGTAAGGGGTAAGGTATTAATAAATATTTTAAATTATATACCTATTAATAATACTAATTATAAGTACACAGTATCATACATTCCTTTACATTGTGAGTTGTACGTTATCTCAAATGGAATAAAATAATATATATGGGTATTAATTTAACTAAAAGAAGGAAAAGTCAGTAATTAAGGAATTAACTGAAAATAGATGTTTGAGAATAAAAGTCTATATTCTAAAAAATAAAGCAATGCACTGAAACATTTATACCGTAATTATTGTCAATTCAGGGCAGGTCCGGTAAAATATTTTAAAATATGTTTTATAGTCAATTTTAGTGCTTTAAATACAGTAGTAAAGCTACCAAAAAAACTATTGACGGATCAAATAATACCAATTTCATTTAGATTTGGATTGACTTTAATATTGTAAATCATTGTAAAATAGTTTTTCGAATGGTCCGAATAATATGAATGGACAATTTAAAAAATGAATCAAATGGTACCTTTTTAAGTATATAAAACATATGATAACAAATTCTTGATACATCGATCTGAATCAGGTATTTATAACTGATTATAACGGATATTTAAAATCTACATATTTTAACCTTAAAGCATCTATTTGGCATCGATCTACATGTTTGATAATAACATTATTTGTATGTTGCCAAATATTTACTACAACAGTATATTTGCAAATGATGATTTTCTTATCTTTGTCATTTTAGTGAGGAATGAAACAGACATATTGTTCTTTTTTTCATATTTACTTTATCAATTTATCATCTCAAACCAATAAATGCTTCTTTGTTGAGAGAAGAAATTCGATTATTCACAAATAATTTCAATATTTATAAAGGTATATGGTTGTCAGTAGTATTTTGAGTGTTATAAGGTGAGTTTCCATTACAACAAAATTGCAATATGTATTTTAACAATTATGTTCCTAATAATTTCCAGATCATATTAAAATTTTCTGAGTTTAATTTACTTAAACCTAGAAAATCACTTTCACAAATCTCACAATATACAGTGTCACATACTATATGAAACAAAAAGAAATATTAATTCGTGTAGCAATTTACTTCATTAAACTTTTCTAAATATTTTGTTTATAATAATATACAGGCTGTTTCCGAAAGGCCTCCCGTAAATACAGGGGATGACAAAATACGACAAAAAATAAGAATTTTTTGTCTTATGAACTATATGTCTATCTCCTCTTGTTTTCGAGATACAGAGCAACAAAATAAAATTTTTTAAATACAATTTTTACGAAAATTTCCAAACGGTGCGAAATATTTTGATGAAATTTGGTATTCCGGGGTTTTTAAGGATGCCAAATAGGCTGGTCTAATTATTCTTTGGATATTTCATAGAGGGCGCTAGTTCCTATTCCTATTACATTTTAAGTTCAAATTTTTTTAAGGTTAGGTTTTTTCCATTCGGGCACCAATTTCTAATGTACAATTTTATTTTCTAAATATAATGTACTTTTGTTAGAACTTCCTAATGTAGACGGTTTTCGTGAAAAAGGCTTTTAATTAAACTCTTACAATATTACGGTGTATAAAATAAGGGACTTTTCTCAAAGTAAGCTTATGTCAGAAATTATTGATGGATGTCTCATAAACAACGCATACATTCTTAGTAATATTTTAAATTCTATTTAACTTTATAACAACATTTTAGTGACTATAATTAGCCATTACTAACTACAGTCACTAAAAAGAAGAAAGAACACCTGTTTCATGTTGCAAAAATTTATAGTTGCAGAAAAAAATGGATTTTCTAACTTTCAGTATTTGGGATCATCCGTGTCTCATTAAACATTATCTGTTTGCTAAATTTATAGCGACATTATAATTATCTTAAAAAGTGAAAAAGTTTTCTTAAAAAAGAAAGGAAAATTATTTAAAGGATCTTAAATCTTTAATTATGCAAAATTGTAATTTGATCTTTCACTTCCGTCGTAATCGTTTCTTGGATACTGTATAAAGATAATTTAGTATATATCCATTTGATTTAATTTCTTTTTAGATGAATCTTAAAATTTTCCTTTTAATATTTTTCGCCACTATTGCTGTTGCTGACTATACCTGCAGCGATACCGACTGTCATGAATGTGTTGATAATGTTTGCCATTTGTCATGTCAAGGCAAGTCATGCCACAGTTGTCCTAGTGGTAATTGCTGCAAAGAGAATAACTGTAATGTATGCATTTCTTCAATTTGTTGCTCAACGACAAAATGTAATACCTGCATCAACAGGCAACGAATATTATGTCCAGATACAATATCATCGATGGACTGCAACACAAGAGTAGCGGAAAAATGTGGATTGAAGGCTGAAGACCCAGTAAGCATTATCTTATTATTGTTTAGTTGATATAACATATAATTGTCTAAGTAGATGATAACATATATTAATAAACATCGTTACGTTTACGCGTATTCGTGATACTATTATATGTGTACCCTTGTAAATAATTTTGTTGCGAATTATTTATTTCAGAAATTATTAGAAATGTGTCATCACCCGAAAATGTTAGATCAATTGTAAGTTTTACTGTTTTTGAAATTACCAGAAAAGTAATATCATTCACTAATTTTTCACAAAAAATTCATTTGTTTTATCACAAACAAGTGTGTATTGTATCACTTTTGAGATACCTATGTAGACGCCAGTAGCCAGCTCTGTTTTATCTCATCATATACACTTTTACATTTTCTGTAAGAATACTTTTTCTAAAATGATACAAAATTTTCTGGATATATGTCTAACAGTACGGTTATGTATGAGAGGGATGCCCAAAAATTTAAACGTAATGTATTAAAAATTCGTCATTGGAATCCTATATCACTGCAACGTTGAGGAAGCGTTCTAATAGAATAGGTATCTATATTCCTGAAATGCGATGTCTAATTTTGCGATTTTCTTTAATAAATAATAAAAGAAATCCATATTTTACTTTTTCAATATCTTCAAAATAATAAAGTTAAAGTCAAATTTTACATTCTAACACAATTCATTGAGATTTCAGGAAGTTTTATCTACTTAAACACGTATGAGATTTGATTTTTTTTATACATTATTGAAAACTTTTGATCTGGCACTTAGTAACTGAAACGTAGGAATTATCTAAATTACTATTTTTGATGAACACTTGCGGTATTATTTTGATTCCATATTTTAATGTAATGACTTCGTTTTATATGATTTTCCTAGATCGTTATAAAATTGGTAACTATTTTGTCGTTATGGTAAATGCTTTATTGACTAAGGCCCTTAAATTGAAATAGAAACTCTACAAAAAGTTAGAAAAATGCGCCTAACAGCTTTATTCTTGCTAACAAATGAACGGAATAACACACAATGTGTTTATATATTTATACTTTGTATAACAGACATTAGGTTAAATTAGGTTTCATGTGAACGGGCCAAAAAATAGGTTTTTATTACAACCTAACGGAATTAAGACAGCTAAAAAAAGGAGGGAGAGGGGGGCAACAGGATTGGAATGTCCAATAGTGGACAGTTAAATTGCAGGACCACACTCTACTGCAGGGGGGGATCTTATCAGAAAATACCTTAATAGTAGGTAACCAGTTTCATGCAAGACACTTACATTTAAAGTTTTCTATAGGTAAACTTTAGAAGAAGAGGAAAGGATATAGAAAACTAACTTTTAGCTTTCCAAATAGAATATGTTTACAAAACATACATTGAAAGAAATCATCTAAGTGAGACTCTTCGCTAGGATATTATAGCAATTGTTAGTGAAATATATTTCAAGGACATAAAAGAAAAATCATGTTGTCATAAGTAAACTCGTTTTTCTAACAATATGTTTGCTACCATAACAAAAAAATATTGCCCTATTTAACAGCTTCCTTGGAATTATATTTTATTCAATTGTCGATCAAGTGAGTTGCTTTGCGCAGTTAAATGAATGTACTTTCTTGAAATTTGTTAAGATGGGAGTAGTGGACTCTTACTTGTAGGAAATTAGAACTCGCTTAGTGTTAGTGAAGAATAAATTATTTTTTTTTAGGATTGTAATTGCAACACAATCATGAAAAGTCCGAGAAAATAATTGGTGCAATTTTTTCCGGGATACACCCCTTTCATCTTGACACAAATGAAAAATTTCACTCCATTTATGTTTTCGAACTTGTTATGATTAATTTGTATTTAAAATAGTATTTCTAACAAAAATGTCCCATTAACATTTTTTAAATAATTATAGGTACCTATGTCTGCTATGCCTATCCTTCTGTTCAATAGATAATATACATATATTTAATTATAATATATTATTTTTTTCGGATAGTACATTTTTCTTCTACAGCCTGAGTAATATATTGTCCCAATGAACTTCTTCTTAACCTTATGACAAATTTCTGTGATAAGGAATATTGCGATTTTTTTGTATATTGTAATATTTTATCATAATGACTTTCATCTTTACACGGTCGTTTGAATTATGGTTTAGCATACTGACATAATTATTATCAGTTACATAATTACATTTTGTTATTGACTTTAATAATAAATCATTTAAAATTAAATTTAACAATTAAACAAATTTAAAATTAGGCATAATAGGTCACTTTTTTATTATAAGATCCAGGTATTTTTTACATTTGAAGATTTTGGAGTAAAAACTGGGCAATTCCATTTTTTAGTAAAATTGACTGGTGTTCAATATGCGGAGGCATGTTCCCCAAACATTATTAATTCAACACGAAACGTCTTATTTTTTGGTTATTACAGTCATTTTTCACTTACTACATTCTCGTCCTAAACTTTTTTTCTGACTGATGCCATAGGTACTGATGCGGCGGCGGCGGATCAATGAAATATTAAATATTACTTTAATTGCTTAACTGATATCTGATAATCATCAAAATTGATCTATTGGCTGACTTGAGGGCCCTTATTGCAAAATCCAATATATCTATAAGTTTAACAAAAACAACAAATCTGTTTACACAAACTTTATAGGAAGCAGTATACCCATTTGATTAGATATCGTAAAACTGAAAATTTTGTTCCACTAAAAAAAATATAAAACAAAAATAAAGTGGTTAACTCGCTTAATACTACATTTTTGGTATAACAGTTGACGCATAAATCACCATGCATAGTGAACAGATCTTTTTACCTAGACACATAAAATAAATAAGATATTTTTACATTTTAAATATTAACAAGTATTATTTATTTATTAATGAAAACAAATGTATAAGGATAATAATTGTTTTCGAATGTTATTATTATTACAATTTAGTATTTTTAATATTGTTAACGTTTTCACTATATTTTATAATTATTGAATATGTTTTTATTATTATGTTCAATTAATTATGCAGTTTGTAGTACGTATACCTAGTGACTTTTACTTTCAAATAGTAGTATTGGACCTACCTATTTAAAATGCCAGTACGGTTAAAACAATACCCGTCCATAGTACTGTGTTAATAAAGTTGAGATTCGCTGCACTTTGATTTTGGAAACCAATTGCAAAATTCAAGACGACTGGGGAAATCAGCTGTTTTCATCTTTCGAACACTCTGTGGTCCGCGGGCGCTGTCCCGATCAGAAAATGTGATGCGAAGAAGGGCGCCAAATTGGAGTTAATTTACTTATCTTTAAAAGGTCTAGAACATTTTTTTTTCGATTTTCTGTCTTTATTTTTCTTTTCTGAGAAATATTGAGGTCAAGGGTAAATTTTACTAATAGCATCGTGTTCAGCGCCTTAAAATACTACAAAAATGATATGGTAAAAAATCAGTTTTGGCCCATATTTAGGCCAGTTTTCACCAAATAATTTCACTTTTCTTCGAAATTCATCGAAAAGTCATGAATTTTGACTACAGGATTGTGTCAGCGCATCGAATTCCTTCGGAAATAATATCTTGGGTTTGAACTTTTTTTGTGTGCCTTTGTAATCAAACCTTGAATTTTGTTTCACAGACGTCATGACAATATACTACTGTAATTTTTAATTAAAGATATAGAACGAAATAATTAAAAAAAAAGTCAGGTGATATTGCATTAATAAAGAATAATCAATAAGCATTTCCAATTAAATTTAAAACGTGAACCTGCAATCTGCACGAATATAAGAGCTTCCATTAAATAGTCGGTTTTATGATTGATCTTAAGTTACATACAATTCGAGTTTTTTGTTAATTTATTCTCTTAAAAGCAATATTCTACTGTACGTCCAGCTTGGAGTTGATGTATTTTAATTTTAAATTTTTAGATTTCAGGACATCGGAATCTGAATTCTGGACACCACAACATTACAACTATAATAAAAATAAGAAACTTAATCAATAATACAAACGTCGTTGATACACCAATTGAACTCAACATAACAAATGCTAACGATATGGTGCTCAATAAAACTAATATATTTCTTAAAAGCTTAGAACGAAGAGAAAGAAAATGTTGTTCTATAGTTCACCCTCAAGAATGTCACAAGGTTCTACTTTTACCAAAAGAAGTATGTTTTACTAGACGGCACAAGGAATGTTCCGTATTGTGTGACAATGTTACGAATTTGCTTATAAAAACTAGTAGAACAAACCAATGTATTACTATAGCAGTTCATCCGTATTTTTATTGTGGCTATTACTCAATAGAAGGTTTGTATTCTCTCTGCGAAGAAGAAAACAATTTCAAATTAGATATAATTAACCCTTAAACTAAACACATATTGATCTGGTACAAATGCCGCCGATGACCTTCGGTTTGAAAGCTCAAGGTCATGGGCAGGCTGTCTCGTTACCAGATTAGATAATATTTATAGGGGAAAAGTGTTTAAAAACTATTGAATACTAGTAATTTAACAAATATTTTGTGCTATAACTTTTATTTGGTTATGTGATACCGATACATGCGCAGATACAGACCTTCATGTTTATGGAACCCATAGATGGGTAGATCAGATCAGATTTAGATAAGTATTTTAATAAAGTAGTAAGAAAGGTCACAGTATATATCATATAATTAGCAAAAATAATAAAGTTTTAAACTTCAATCAGATTTTGATTATAGGCCGTCTGAGTAATTCTAAACATTTGCTAGAAAATTTCGATGTTTAATATGAGTCTTCCAGTTTTTCCATCTATTTTGGTAGCTCATATGACCCAAATTAAACTCCACGAGGTCCATTCTTTGAAAACATTTGTATTTAAATCGGATAGAAACTGAAATAGGGTATTATAGTTTTAGGGTACATATCCTAATAACTATTTGTGTAATATTTAAAATAAGCGTAGAATAATCTACTTATTTCTCTCATGTAACCATTGTTCTGCCCATATTACTTTTTGATACCTTAAAAATTTCACTATTGGTATTGCAACTTGAATAAATTGTAAATTGGGAAGTAATATTTCTCACCATACGAGTATATGTCGTACTTGATATCAGGTACATATTGACACAGAGTTTAACGTAAATGAGGATTATTACAGTAAAACGCCAGCAGATATCGATGCAGCGACACTGAGACAGCCATACACATTGAGATTAGTACCGTATATACCAAACTTGCTAAATGTACCGATCTCAACGTGTATGGGTCTTATTATTTCAAAAGAAAGAATGTATGTCTATCATAACAAAACTAGAAGATAATATAAAATTTTAAATGCAAGACGATCAAGAGTTGTGAACACCATGAATAGATATTTTCTTAAGTAGGTCCTAATAATGTAGAAGTCTATAATTGTCGAATGAATAATAATTAATGAACAAAATATGTAAATTATTATAAAATTATGCAAGTAGCTAAAAAGTCCTTTTTTATTTTAGATTGCAGCGCGTGTTTCAACTGTACAAAAGCAAGTAGTATTAAATGTCTAGAAGAACCAACGTGCAGTAAATCTTGTAGAGGATCCATATTACCTAAAAGATTTTATAATGTACCTTATTACATAAAAAAGAATGGAGAACCAGCGGTGGAATAATATACTTAGGTACCTACCTAATTATTAAGTTTTTCATAAAGTCATTAATTTTCTCTAATATATCCAAATACATTTTTCAAAAATGTAATTTTATACATTTATTTCGATGTGCGTATAATAGTGTGATTTCCTTACCTGTTTACAAAAAAAAGAAGTCAAAAAAAGAAAAAATAAGACATCAGTCTTATCCACCATATTGTTCTTAATTATCTGTAGGTGCATTAAGTTTATTATTATCCATAAAGGGGTATATATATATAAGAATACAATTTTATTTTTAACCACTATGCATATAAAAATCCATTTTTTTATCTTGCAACTTTATTATAATAATCTTTTGAAGAATACAAGGGTAAGATCTTTCTCTCTACCGTAATTTACTAATATAACGATCAAATATTTGAACTACTATATTATTTACGTATATAGAAAACTATATACTTAGTTACAAAACAGACTCATCTAAGAAAAACATTTTATTTTATATATATAAGAATACAATTTTATTTTTAACCACTATGCATATAAAAATCCATTTTTTTATCTTGCAACTTTATTATAATAATCTTGTGAAGAATACAAGGGTAAGATCTTTCTCTCTACCGTAATTTACTAATATAACGATCAAATATTTGAACTACTATATTATTTACGTATATAGAAAACTATATACTTAGTTACAAAACAGACTCATCTAAGAAAAACATTTTATTTTACTTCTACAATTTTTTTTCTATTAAGGTATAAACATATGCTCATCAATTTTTCCAGATTTTACAGATGAAGATTCGTACTTAGTTCAAATATTTGAAATTCGAAGGGTAAGTATTCAATTATTTCCTCGACAGACGTCTATGCTTTATTCCATTCAAACATTTTAATAATGATTCTAATAAAAAGAGGAACATATCTTATTTACTAAAAAAAATTTAATACATACTTTTTTATTTTATGTAACACTTTTTTTGATATATTTTTTACTTTAAAAGTTTCTCACCCAAGTAATGCGATGTGGATGTGGGGATTTTCAAAAAAAAATCTTATAAAATAATCTATTTAACCTATGATCTGACCTTTGTCAAATTTTGTACATGGCCTTCTATTTTAAGTTTGTTATTTAATTACGATAAAAAGACATATTGGTTTTAATAAAATTTAGTTATGTGTTGTTCGTAAAAGAAGAAGGTAAGTAATTTTTCCATTTTTTTATTTTAGTTTTTAGTTGTATGTACATTATGAATAAATAGTCCGTATGTTAACCTCGAGGAGTACCTACTATTGAAACAAGAAATTAATTTAATGAAGTTGTTAGTTATCAATTACATAACGTTTAGTTTATTTCATAAACATTTATCAGTAAAATTTAAAATAGTTGTCCACACAGGGTATCTTCTAACATATTCATTATTATGTTACGGATTAGATACGTTAACCAAAAACTATAGGTACGATAATAAGTATACAAGAAAATATAGAATGAACCAAAATGAACTAATTATAATGTTTCTACTGTTTCGATTTCTTTAAATAAAGGACTATACAATATGTATTTAAATAACAAATATTATAAAAATACTGTAAACATTTTTTTAGCAAAATACTTTTAAAACTTAGAAAACACAAGAATGTGCAAATATGTGAAGTATTTATCCGTTCGTTATTGCTAAGGTTTTTCTGCAATTGCATACATATTTTAATTTCTATTTCTCAAACTTGATTTTAATTAATTAGTTTATGTCTTTTCATGAATATTTTCTTTGAAAACGTTGACAGCAAGAGATTAGTGGCACACAATGTGTAAATCAAATATTGGATCAAACTGCTTTTGTATCAACACATCTTTTAAATTCCTTAATCTATATCTTAATGGACGTTTACAGTCAAAGAAAATGAATTTGAAATATTGTACTTTGAACTTCTTTAGTAATAATAAATTTGTTTGAATTACATCGACGATAGCTTTGTGGTTACTAATTGTAACTTTTATTATCAGCAACTACTGAGAAAGAAACTCCTCATCATTTAATCTATAGTCTAAGTGTCCAATCAACTTATTTGCTCATTTTTTGTTCTTCAATCGATTATATTCAATACATTAAACAAAAAAATGATAAACCGATTGCTATTATCGCAAATAAATGTTCCAAAATTATAAACAGGAATGCAGATTTTAAAGTTGAAATAAAGATACTAAATATGCTAGTTTTTGGCATCCAAATCTTATTTCAAATATTCCAGATAATGTATGTACATAGTACTTACTGTTGTACAAAATGAGCCAATGCGGTAAACTGGCGAGGTCACAATCAACTTTGCTAAGCAACCTACAGTTTTTATGAATATCTAGTTCTTCCATATTCAAAAATCAAAATAAACTAATTTAGAATTTAATATTTTATAGATAACTTCGTGAGCTATTAAAACATTTCAATAAAATTTGGTATTGGAGGATTTTTGGGAAGCTTAAGAAGGTCATAGGGTCACTTTTTACCTAAAAGGATCATTAAGAATACCTAGTTTTTTTACCATATATTATTGTTGGTAGAGATTTTCAGAAAACAACTGAATATTTTATAGATAACTTCGTGAGCTATTAAAACATTTCAATGAAATTTGGTATTGGAGGATTTTTGGGAAGCTTAAGAAGGTCATAGGGTCACTTTTTACCTAAAAGGATCATTAAGAATACCTAGTTTTTTACCATATATTATTGTTGGTAGAGATTTTCAGAAAACAACTGAAAAAAAAATGATATTTGCTGAATGTTGCTTTAAGAGATTTTAAATTTACATTGCAGTTTTCAGTTACGGAGTACCGCGGATATTTGCGATTATTCTAATATAACTAAATGGGATGGGATGAACATGAAGTTTTTTTGAGCCAAGTATAAAGGTCCTATACCCAATTTAAATACCCCAAAGAAAATCCCTAAAAAGTATTGATTTTTAACCGCATTTTTGCGATTTTTTCGATTTTTACCATAATAATCATGATTCATTCGATTTGTAACTAGACATGTTTTGTAAAAAATTTAATTGCAAACATTTTTTTCCTCTTCGATTTTCGCCTAAAATCAACTTTTGAAAAGATACATAATTAAATAAGAAGAAAAATATGACATTTTTCGAATTTTTTAAATATATTGTGCCGCCAAAAGTTAAGCCCAAATTTTCATTTCTAGTGATATTTGAAAGCCAAAAAGCCAAAAATCTCCGTGGATATACGATTCACCCAAACCAAAACAGATACCGCCTGGTCTATTAGTATAACTCTCCATTTCCAAAAATTACCCCTATAAGTGGGTGCAAAATATAGGAAAACACAATGAACATACCCTTGGTTTTACCTGTGTAAATTAATTCGGTCCAGGTATATCCAATAATGTTTCATACTTTCTTAGAACTTCTAAACTCAACACAGCTGTGCAGGTTTATCGCCTATACGCACTTCTAAACCCGTACATATAAACCTAACAAAGCTACCGGCATTAAATATATCAGTTTATGATAATTAATTATATATACAGGGTGATCCGAATTTTATGCAGGAAACTTCGAGGGTAGATAGATCTCTTTCAAATAGTAGGTGCTTGCCTAATAAACATAGGTCTAGAACGGCCTCGTTTTAGAGATACAGGGTGTTGAAGTTGCGTTAAAAAAAATTGATTTTTTGCTTATATTTCCGGAATCTATTAACCGATTTCAATAAAATTTAGTACAGACAATGTATGATAGTAGGCCTTGTATTTCCTAAAATATGAGCTCTAAAGGTTCAACCAGTGGTGTACAACTGGATAGTCACCCCATTTTTTATAAAAAAAAAACCTACGCCACTATATTTTTTACACGCTATTGTAATGCATTTATATTCTATTGCACAAAATACGTAAAAAAGGTAACTTGAATTTTTTCCCTAAAGTTCACCGTTCTCCAGTTATTCATACCAACACAATCCCCTTGTAGCAAACACTTCTAACCATAATATTATAAGAATATTTATGTTTATGCTTAAAAGTAAGTGCAATTTGTAAGCATATCAACAAAATTCTTTACACTCGTCACTTTCATCTTTCCGGATTAAAACGATATTTGGAAAATCACAACGGAGTATTGAAAGGCACAGAAATGAAATTTTAAGAGTATTTGAAGACGATCTTTGCCTAAGTACACAAAGAACGTCTCGGCAACTTGAGGTGAGTAAACCGAAAATTTGAAAAGTTCTACATAAGGATGGCAGAAAACCTGTGCAAAATTTACTTCTGAGAGCTGCAGAGAGACGCCTGAATTTTTATCAGTGGTTTTTAGAATTTTTACTAGAAATCTTTGGACCGATGAGGCTGCGTTCACAAGGCGAGGGGTAGTGAATTTTCACAATTTGCGTATTTGGTCACAAGAAAATGAAATTCGGACAAAATCTTTTCAACACGAATTTTCTGTGAAAGTATGGCTTGGAATAATTCGCAATAAAGTACTATGTGGACTTTAAATTAAATATACGACAAAATACTGGATACAAATGGATGGTGCTCCTTGAGGAGAATAATACAAGAATGGCTTAATGAAAATTATATGGGGTGATGGATAGGCAGAAGACCAAATGCCAATATCAACCATAACATTAGGGAAGGCCCAGTGTCTCGGCCAGCCAGATCGCCAGATCTAAACACCCTGGATTTCTATGTTTGGGGTTACCTATCTGAAAAGTAACGTTTACTCCAATAGATACTAGATTACAACTACTTAGCGAATAGAACGCAGGTGTAATGAATTAAAAGAAAACCACCACGTAGGTATGTTATTAGCTTCAATTAGTTTCATTAATAGAAGATGTCAGAAATGTATGGATGTGGGTGGTTCGTATTTTAAACAGTTGCTGTAAATACGTAACGTTAACTTTGTTTCCTGTTTAGTTGTTTTTGCTTGGTACATGTATTTTTATTATTATTTTGATAAAGTATTCTTATTTGTAAAGATTAGGCCTCCAGGGGAAACTAAAACACACCAGGAGCACTACCTTACAGGTGATATGGAAAGAATTTTGTTGATGTGCTTACAAATTGCACCTACTTTTAAGCATAAACATAAATATGCTTGTAACATTATGGTTAGAAGTGTCTACAACAAGGGGATTGTATTGGTATGAATAACTTGAAAATGGTGAATCTTAGGGAAAAATTTCAAGTCAACATTTTCTACGTAGTTAGTGCATTAGAATATAAATCCGTTACAATAACTTGTAAAAAATAGGCGTAGGTTTTTTTTATAAAAAGGGGGTGACCCCTGTCCAGTTGTACACCACTGGTTAAACCTTTAGGGCTCATATTTTAGGGAATACAAGGTGTACTATCATACATTACATGTACCAAATTTTATTGAAATCGATTAATAGATTCCGGAGATACAAATAAAAAATCAATTTTTTTTAACAACTTCAACACCCTGTATGTTCCAGACCTATGTTTATAAGGCAAACTCCTATTATTTTAAAGAGATCTATTTGTCCTCGAAGTTTCCTGGATAAAATTCGGACCACACTGTATAAATGCCTCAACTAACCATACCTTTTAATAAGGTTTATCAGGTACGGAGGTACGTCTATAGTCTAACGAAAGTTTCTGTAGATTCGCTAGTGACTAAAGTAGTAAGCCTTTAGATTTGGCAACGTTGCACTTCGCTGGCGCGCTCTGCTCGACGTTCGCTCGCTCTCGCTCGATAATTCTGTTTGTTTGGACACCTGCGAATTTCAAATAATACGCTATGTCGAGACCGCGGCGTTGCCGCAATCACACAAGTAGGGTATTTTTACCGTTTATCAGTCTCCCCCCTCCACTTTCTGGCTTGGGATGACCTTGAGGCCGAAGGCCGATGACGATGGTGCATGGATGACCTTGAGGCTGAAAGCCGAAGGAGATGACGTAGGTTGGTGACTTTTATTTGACCTTTGCATTACAGTTAACCTTGAAATTAGATTTGTATGGTATGTAAGAGAGGAGGAATTTTACATGAGAAGATAACCTTCATTTTACTTTGACATTGCCGTTAACCTTGAAATTAAATTTGTGTAGTGTGGTGTGAATAAGGAAGATTGTTTATGACCTTCATTTGTCTTAGGTTTTAAACATTGCAGTTAACCTTGAAATTAAATTTGAAATATGTCTATCGGTGTAGATAAATATTTTATGAGGG